TCTTGTGTGTACAACTTCTCATAGGCTGCTTCAAACTCAGGCCAGCTTCCTAGTGATGGGGGTTGTTTGGTTTTGCAGATCGAGTGTCACCCATACCTCACGCAGGAGAAGTTGATCCAGTACTGCCAGTCCAAGGGCATCACAGTCACTGCCTACAGCCCCCTGGGCTCCCCGGACAGACCTTGGTGAGGGTCCTTAGGGCTCTTTCTCTTGATGCCTTTAAAAAATGAATGCTGATTGGTTAGTGTTGGTATGAGTCTACAAGCAGTTAGATAGGTATTTCTAAGACAATGTATTTGGTGCACTTAAATGAGATATAAATGAGATTATAAGGAGCTCTGGTAGCGTAGTGGTTACGAATTAGGCTGTGAACCTCAGGGTCAGCAGATCTAAACTACCAGATGTTCTGGGGGAGAAAGATGAGGCTTTCTGCTCCCATAAAGATTTACAACCTTGGAAACCCTGTACAGGGTCACTATGAGTCAGAACTGACCCCACAGTACATAACAACAACAACAACAACAACAACAACAAATGAGATTATGGAATCCTGGTGTGGCACTGTAGGTTAATGTGCTGGAATGCAAAGTCAGTTTGAACTGCAAGGTTGGTGGTTCAAGCTTATCATTTGCTCCTTGGAAACCTCATATATGTTCGCTATGAGTTGGAACCGACTCAATGGCACTTAACAACAACACCACCAACAATAAATGAGATTATAGTGGGATAAATAAGATTTTAAAAACAATATACTTGTTCCTGTGTAAATACTCAGATTAAGTCACTCAGAGCAGGAGGGGCCTTTGCACAAGGCGAGGTTTCGATCCCAGGATGGGCCCAAGGGTCTTACAGTGTTCTGATGCTTCAACACCTCTCCCAGATGGAGGACACTGTGAGGAGCAGTCTGGGGCCATCATCATGGAAGGGACCCCCATGTTTACAAGGTAACCATGGTGATTGTTCACACATGACCACCATCTTTCTTTCTCTAGGGCCAAGCCAGGAGACCCTTCACTGCTGGAGGATTTTAAGATTAAGGAGATTGCTGCAAAGCACAACAGAACTCCAGCCCAGGTGTGTTTTCATTACATTTCTTCCCCGGTATCCAGAGCCCTTGTGTGTTTCCTTCCTTGTGTGGTCTTCACCTCATATCTTGATGGGAAGAACAGAGCAGTTGAAGTCTGGTCAGTCCTTCCTGAATGTCTTGTTGGGCCCCAGAAGATGCACTATTCTCACTAAGACAAAGATGAGCTCTGTCCATTCATCACCTTCCTGTGAGTCCAATCACACAGTAAAGAGAATGGAGTTGGCTACAGAGATCTGAGTTGATTTCTGCTTCTGTCTTGTCTTGTGACCCAACACTGGCCCAGCTGCTGTCCTAGTTCCTAATGAGAAAATCAGAGAACCTGCCTCTTCAGGCTGTTGTGAAGATGCTGGGATACTGTCCAGTGTCTGACAGGGCCACGTTCCATCCACAGTCACCATTCTAACGAAGGCAGGGAGCTGAAGGGCAGGCTCTTTGTCCTTTAGTGGAGGGAGGTTCCTAGTAGTGATTGGACCATGATGTCCTTCATGTGCAGGTTCTAATCCGGTTCCATATTCAGAGGAATGTGGCTGTGATCCCCAAGTCTGTGACTTTGAAGCGTATTGTTGAGAACTTCCAGGTAAGAACCCGCTGGTCCACCCACTGGTCCACCGTAGTTGTCCTCAGCGGAGGAGGAGAGGGAAAGACCCGTCTCACCAAGCTCTTCATTTCATCCTTGCATTGTCTGTGGACCTCACCCCCTGCCCATCCCCTATCACCTCCCAGGCCAGGATAACCTTAGTAAGAGTTGAGATGGATGACCCAATGGCCCAGAGCTATGCTAGAACCGCTTGTGTCATTGGCAGGTGTGAACACAGCTGTGCGTCATCTCCCTGAGCAGCAGATCACTGTATACAAAGAAAACTGTCCTGGCCTCACCACCTGCTCCATCCCCCGTAGCTCCCACACTCCACCCCCCACCCCCCGCAACACACACACAACAGAGGACTAAGTACGGCTTGGGCATAGGGTATACTTTTATTCATACATTGTTGAATTTGATTTGTTAATATTTATAGGACTTAGTTTCAAGCAACAGCCGTGCCCAGTGGACATAAGGGGAACCTCTTGTGGCCAGATAGTGTTGTGAAAGTGAACTCTTTCCTTGATGGAATGGGACCCCAGGGATTGACGTGAACTCCATCCTTTCTAGGTCTTTGATTTCCAGTTAAGTGATGAGGAGATGACGACCATACTCAGTTTCAACCGGAACTGGAGGGCTTGCGTCATACAGGAGTAAGTACACTGGGGAATGTACTTTGGGGAATTGAACTATGGGGAATGTTAGGGTTTCTCTAAACTGCTAGAAGGTCACCTGGAAGACTCAGATGGAAGCTGGGACTACTTTTGTCTTGGAATACTATCTCTTGTGAGTCTTGAAGTACCTTGGAGAGATTCATTCATTGTGAGGAAAGAAATATCCCTGCTCAGTCTCTGAACTTCTGGATTGAATGCCAGAATTTTAAGAGAGACATGCTACGAGGTATGAAGCAGAAGCTCTTGATTCATACATGTAACAGGTATTTATTGAGCACTTGTTATGTACCTGAGAAGTCTAAGATGGCTCCACGATTTTTGTTGTTAGTTTTTCTCTGAGCACCACAAGCGTGGAATTGCCATTTGAGGAAAAGCATCAGGAGTTGGTGCGTGTATGCATTGCCTATTATATGTCTAAGTTGGTGTTGTTGTTAAGTATCGTTGAGTCAATTCCCATTCACAGCGAACCTACAGGACACAGTAAAACTGCCCCAGAGGGTTTCCATGATTGTCACCTTTACAGAAGCAGACTGCCTCATATTTTTCCTGCAGAGCAGCTGGTGGGTTTGAACCACTGACCTTTTGGTTGGCAGGCAGCACTTAACTACTGCATAACCAGGAATACTTGGCTTAAAGTCTAAGCTCCATCTCTTATTTACAAGTGGGCTTAAAAAGGCTTGTGGAAAAATGGAACTAAAAGATAGTGAAATTAAAAATATATACATATATATCAAAAGGGCAACATTTACCAAAGGGCAAAGTTGGGAAGGGACAGGAAGGAGTTTGGAATGGAACCAGGAAACACAGGGAGGAAGCGGGAGAACTGCTGTTACATGGAGGGAATTGCAGTTATTGAGATGAAACCAAGTGTATGATTTGTTAAATGTAAAACTGATCATCTTGTCTATAAACCTTCCCTAAATTCACAATGCAAAGTCAAAAATAAATAAATAAAAGAAAGAAAGAAAGAAAAGAGAGGGAAAAAGAAAAGATAATGAAAAATTTCCAGGAAGCTTTTGAAGCCCCCTTGTTTTCCAAGCTGGTTTCTTTAGTTATAAAATAGGAATGATGCTTTGAATGACAGCTAATATGTGCTGAGTGTTAACTTTGACTGTGCCAAGCATTCTAAGTCCTGTGCATGTGTTATTAGCTCACTGAACACTCCGAAATGGCCGATTTTATTACTATTGCAGTGTTGGAAGGATTAATCGAGGCAATACTTGGAAGGCACTCAGTACGTTGCTTGGGCCCAGGCTTCTTACTAGTCATGAACCAGCTGCTCTGGAGTTGATTCTGGCTCATGTGTGGTCAGAGTAGAACTTTGCTCCATAAGCTCTTCAATGGTGGAGTTTCTGGAATCCGACCCATAGACATTTCTTCCAAGGTGCCAGTTCATTCCGGCACCCTGGTTGCTGCTCATCTGCCCTCATTCCTAGGACACCCTGGATCAGTTTGAGGGAAGATGGAGACACATGGGCCCCTGTCTCATGTTCCTTCAGAATCTTGAGGGGAAGGCTGAGAGAGAAGGAAGATAAAGGGTGCCCAGGAGAAGAATGTCCTGTACACTTACATTGTGACTTGTGGAACATGTTCTTCTTCACAGTTGTCCTCTCTCATTCTCTCTGCAGAGTGGTCCATTTGGAGGATTATCCTTTCGATGCAGAATACTGATGGTAGGCCTTCAGGTTTTGGATGAGATTCCTCAGGTGTTCTCTGGCTTCATTCTCCTGAATTGTAACTCTAGTCACTGGAACCCAGTTCTGTTGTGGTGGTGGTGACTGTAATTGACGCCTACTGATGAGGACCCCATGAGTTTTTCTTTTTTTTAAGCTTTTTGTTGTGAATTGAGTGAAAGCTTACAGAAAGAGATTGTCAATTTCACGTTCAACAAATCATACACTTCGTTTTAATGATGCAATCCCTTCCATGTAACATCACTCATCCCACTTCCTCCCTGTGATTCCTGTTTCCATTATTACTTCTTTCCCAACCCTCTGAACTGTGTCCTTAGGTAAGCACTGTCCTTCTGATGTTGCATGGTTGACCATTCTGTGGTGTGCAGACTTCACTAGTATTGTTCTCCCCCATACAGACCTATTCATTAGTTGGCTGAAAAATCAAGTCACGAGGGCCATATTGGGTTTTCAAAAGTGTAAACATTCCGAGGCAGATTGCTAGGCTGTACTTCCGAGGTGCTTCTGGGTGAGTTCAGTCAACCATTTGGCTGGTAGCTGAGCCTCTCAGGGAGCCCTGCTTTATCTAGGCTTATATATTCTACAAATCAAAATGGTCTGACTCCAAACCCCTCAAGGGCATGATGCAGGGTTGAGCAACATGTGCACGTGGCCACCATGAGTTGGGGGCTGGCTTGATGAGAAATCTTGGTGAAGTCAGGACAGCTGATTCCCACCCACTGCTGAGCAAAAAAATTCAAAGTCCTTGTGTTACTAATGTTGGCACATGCTGTTAAGTGCTGGTCTGTTGGTTCCATCTCATAGTGGTCCCATACAACACAACACAACACAACACAACACAACACAATACAACATTGCCTGACACAGCATCAGCCTCACAAGCATTGCTATGTTTGAGTCCATTGTTCAGAAGCCATGGTATTAATCCATCTTGTTGAGGGTCTTCCTATTTTTCAATGACCGTCTACTTTACCAACCGTAATGTCCTTCTCCAAGAACTGGTGACTCTTGATAACTTATCCGAACTATGTGAGCTCAAGTCATGCCATCCTCACTTCTGAGAGCTGTCATGGATTGAATTGTGTTTCACCAAAATATCTGTCAATTTGGCTGAGTCATGCTTCTCAGTGGTGATGACTCTCCATGATGTGATCTGAAGCAGTAAGAAGGTTAAGGTTAAAGGTGAGCTGCTATAACCATAATTCCATCTGGTATCTGACATAAGGTAGTTTCCAGGGCATGTGGCCTGCAACACCTTTTGTCTTACAAGTGATAAAAGGAGAGACAAGTGAGCAGAGAAGAAACGCCTTACCACCACCAAGAAAGAAGACCTAGAAGTGTAGTGTGTCCTTTGAACCTGCGTCCCTGTGTTGTGAAGCTCGTAGGGGAAGACTGATGCCAGGACACACAGAGATCGCCGAGGAATATTGGACCTACAGGTGCTGAAAAGAGACAAGGAGCTTTCTCCAGAGCTGGTGCTCTGAATTCAAACTTCTAGCCTTCTGATCTGTGAGAGAATAAATCTGTTTGTTTAAACCATCCCACTTGTGGTATTTCTGTTCCAGCAGCTCTAGATAACAAAGATAGGAATATTCTGACAGTCTTTCTCTCAAGACATTCTTCTGGCAGTCTTTACCAACACCATAACTCAAATACATCAATTGATCTTTGGTCTTCCTTATTCATTGTCCGGCATTTGCATGCATATGATTCTGACAGTCTTTCTCTCAAGACATTCTTCTGGCTGTCTTTACCAACACCATAACTCAAATACATCAATTGATCTTTGGTCTTCCTTGTTCATTGTCCGGCATTTGCTAACATACCATGGTTTGGGTCAGGTACACCTTAGTACTCAAGGTGATGTCTTTGCTTTTTGACACTTTAAAGAGGTCTTTTGCAGCAGATTTATCCACTGCAATACAGTGCCCTTGACTTGTTGACTACTACTTCCATGGAGACATTGACTGTGGATCCAAGTGAAATGAAATCCTGGACTACTTCAATCTTTTATTTGTTTATGGTGATGCTGCTTAATGGTCCAGTTGTGAGGACTTTTGTTTTCTTTATGTTGAGGTGTAATTGTACTGAAGACTAGTCTTTGATCTTCATCTGTTAAGTTCTTCAAATCCTCTTCACTACCAGCAAGGTTGTGTCATCTGAGCCTTCCTCCAATCCTGATGTTGTGTTCTTCATCATAATTCAGTTTCTCAGATTATTTGCTCAGCCTACAGATTTAATAAGCATGGTGAAAGGATACACTCACACCACACACTTTGCCTGATTTTAAACTTAAACCCCTTACTTTGTTTCAACAACTGCCTTTTGGTCAACGTGCAGGTTCTACATGAGCACAGTTAAGGGTTCTGGAATTTCCATTCTTCTCTATGTTTTCCATCATTTGATATGATCCACAAAGTTGAATGAATTTGCATCAACAAAACACAGGCAAGCTTCTTTCTGGTAATATCTGACTTCAGTTGCGATCCATGGAACTTTAATAATGATTAGCCTAACGTTCACATCCTCTTCTAAATCAGCTCGAACTTCTAACAGTGCACTGTCATGTACTGCTGCCACCATATTTTTTCTTCAGAATAATTTGACTTGTATGTGATATTAATCGTATTATTTGATAATTTCTGCATTCTGTTGGATCACCTTTCTTTGGAATGGGCATGAATAGAGATCTCTTTCAATAGGTTGTCTAGACAGCTGTCTTCCAAATTTCTTGACATTAATGAGTGAGTGTTTCTTGCATTGTATCTGTTTGTTGAAACATTTAAATTGGTATTCTGATCCTAGACCCTTGTTTGTCATCAATGCTTCAGTATCATCAGTTCTTGATTGTGTGCTACCTCTTCAATGGTTGAAGGTACACCAATTCTTTGTGGTACAGTATCTCTGTATTCCTTTCATTTTCTTTTGATGCTTCCTGCATCATTCAATATTTTACCCACATAATCCTTCAATATTGTAACTGAGGCTTTTTCCTTCAGCCCTTTCAGCTTGAGAAATGCAGAGAATGCCTTTTTCTTTGGGTTTTAACTCCAGGTCTTTCCACAGTTCATTATATACTCTGCCTTCTCAAGGTATCCTTTGGAATCTTCTGTTCAGCTTTTTTACTTCATCATTTCTTCTGCAAGTCTCAGAGTCTCTTCCGATGTCCATTTTGGTCTTTTCTTTCTTTCCTGTCTCTTAAATGATCATTTGCTTCCTTCATGTATGGTGTTCTTGATGTCATTCCACCATTCTTCTGGTTTTGGCCATTAGTGTTCCATGTGCTAAATCTATTTTTAAAATTGTCTCTAAATTCAGCAGAGATGTGCTAAGGTATACAAAAGACAGCATTCTAAAAAAAGCAAGTAAATATGTAACAGTACTGGATAAGGTTGACAACTAGCTAAGAAACAGATATTATGCTCAGTATAATTGTAGTTTTATATTATTTCATTCAGTAAGAGATTGTTGTATGGTTGTTGTTTTTTTAAATATCCAATTGATCATCCAAGTAGAAATGACCAGTTGGGCTTTTTAAAACTACTTCAATGAAATGTTTTCTTAAGAATCACATTATAAAGTGACAGACGCCATCACCACAGCAAAGCTCTGCCACTACATGTCTAGTTTAAGGAGAGCAAGAGGCCAGCATTTTTATGGAGCTGAGTTGTGATGCTGAGCAGACACGATTTAGAAATCTGGGAGCGCATAATGCCACAAAGCAAATGAATGTCTTAGGACATTGGAAAGACTACGTAAGTTGACAGCAGCCAAAAGGTGGAATTAACCTAAATGCCCATCTACAGATTGTTGTTGTTGTTGTGTGCCGTGAAGTTGGTTCCGACTCATAGCGACCCTGTACAGGGTTTCTGAGGCTGTAAATCTTTATGGGAGCAGAAAGTCTCATCTTTCTCACGTGGAACAACTGGTAGTTCAAACTGCTGACCTTGAGGTTCGCCACCCGATTTGTAACCACTACGCTACCAGACAGAGCTCCTTCACCAACAGACTAGTGGGTGTAAAAAGGTGGCCTATCCATCCAATGGAATATTGTTGTTATTGTTATGAGCCGTGGAGTTGGTTCCGACTCACAGTGACCCTGTACAGGGTTTCCAAGGCTGTAAATCTTTATGGGAGCAGAGAGCCTCATCTTTCTCCTGTGAAACAGCTGATAGTTTTGAACGGCTGACCCTGAGGTTCGCAGCCTGATTCGTAACCACTACGCTATGGGAGCTCCTCACTCAAGCATAAAGAGAAATGAAGCCCTGTCACATGCCACCACATGGATGAACCTTGAAACCATGGGGGTGAAATGAGTCAATTGCAAAGGGACACATCATGCATGAAATAGGCAAATGTAGAGGATCAAACCTCGTCAGGTCATCAGGGGGAACGGAAGGGGGAAAGAGTCATTGCTTAGAATCTGTTAATTGTGGTAGAATCATTTGAAAATGCATCCTGGTGATAGTTTCACAACATAATGAGTGTGATAGTTAAGGGTATATGCCAACTTGACCGGGCCAGAGTTCCCAGTGGCCTGACAGTTGAGATGTGGTTATTCCCCTCATGGTGAAACCTAATACAGGCATAGTAAACTCTATAATGATTGGCTATGAACAGTCAATTGATTGAAAGGATGATTGCTTGGGGGTGTGGTCTGCTCCCAATATAATGGACATGCAGGAAAGGCTTACTCCCCTTTTCTGCTGGGGTCCTGGGATTCTACAGCTGTGAGCCACTTCCTTGATATTAACATCTCTTTATATACATACATATATAAGTCTCACTGGTTTTGCTTCTCTAGAGAACCCAGCCTGAGACAATAAACTTAATCAACATCACTGAATTATGCATGCAAAATTGTATGGCAAATGTTTTGTTACATGTATTTTTACTACACCTATACACACTGGAAATCCTATACAGGGTTGCTATGACTCAGAACCTACTCTATGGCACTTAATAGAGTTTGTGAAAGGTTGCTATAAAGTTATCTTCTTATTCATCAAGCACCCTGATGTGCTGAGCAATTAATCTTTCTACAGATGTTCGATTTGGATTTAATGTAACCACCAGTGCCTTGTACATAGTATGCATTCTGAAACCGAATTGCTGTTGTTGTTGTAAAGTGCCATCGAGTTGGTTCCAACACATAGCACGCCTGTATAAGGTTCCCAAGGAGCAGCTGGTGAGCTTGAACTACTGACCTTGCAGTTCAAACGGCTTTGCAGTCTGATGCATTAGCCCACAGCACCACACCAGGACTTCCTGAAACTGAATGGCATATATTAAATCAGTATTTCACTTATAAAAGACAAAAACCTTTGAGGAAATGGTACTATCCATGGGACGCATCAGATGGATGGTGCATGAAAGCATTAGAAAGGAGATGGAAGATACAGAAGCATTTGATATTTTGGGGAAGAATTTTTAATTTCTTTTCCATCAATTTTGTATGTTTTATGTTTTTGGTCAGCTATTTGTACCAGAGCAATTTTCAGTGTTAGAAAACTTACCTGTAATAACAAGTATTTCCAAAATACGAAATATGGTTTTCTTCTTTAGAATGAAAGCTTAGAATCAATCATCTTTGTTGAGACAGAACATACCTCTCCTAATCCACACAGCACATAAAATGAGCGAGGCAAAGACATTTGGAAGAATTCCATTTATTGTGGATGCATTTTCACAATATATTGCAGCGATCAATTATCAGTGAAAAATATTATGTGTCTATAAACTTTTACGAATGGCAGATTCACAGAACATGCTAGTCGGTTTGCAGTTTTACCTCAGAGAGATAACAAAAAGAATTATAATTGAACCAGTAAGCCAGAAATTTATTTTCTTAAAGATCAGAACCAAACTGAAGACTATTAAACCCTAAACCGTACTCCATCCAATTATTGGAATCAAAGTCCAGATTGACACCTCTTCTCAATTTTAGACTTTCCAGAAAACCAGATAAAGGATGACCCAGAGAAGTTCTCACTCAGATGACAACAGAGATCTGTCACTTTACCAGAGACCTTAATTCACATTCAGAACTGTTTTGCTCCAATGGTGGGACTCAGTGCTAAACTGGGGGCTGCATATGATTGCAGTTTCTCTTATTGTAGACCCCTGTCTACATTGTCCGGGGGTGGGGGAGGT